TTGGTTAGGTGGCTGAGCAGAGGCCCTGCCTGGACAGAATCAGTTTTTGAAAAAGATGGTGCACTGTCAGAGAATATCTCTTTCCTTCCTTATTGGGTACTCTCCCTAAGGATAACTGGGCATCATACCATCACAGAATTAGGGTGGATGATGTTCATGCTAGAGCCCTGTTACTTGCTGCAGGGCAGTAACTCAGACACAAGTCACAGACAGCAAGCAAGACAACCAGAGATAGAGGCTACTTGGAGGACCTAGGCTCATCTGAGTGGATTTTTCTACTAAGTTGGTTTGATACTAGTTTACACATGTGCGTGGTTGCATGCGCTTGCATACACACACCTGGTTATGTCAAAGTGCATGTGCCCTTGCTAGCTGCTGCTTTTGCAGACTAAGCAGATGGCAGCTTTGCTATGGAATCAGCATGTGTTTTGACAGAAGATGTTCATTTGTGCTTTGTGCACGAGGGACCACAGTTTGATCCTTCTCCTGTGTCACCAGATTGACATCAAAATATCTGCTAAGGAACTGAGTGCATTTCCTTCCCAATAGGGACACAAAGTTTCCTCATCTCTTCTCCCTTACCCACACATGTATGTGTGTGCATGCATGCACACTCACACAACCCAAGGCTAAATGTAATGTGGTCAGAAACCACAGGACAGAAAGGGCATGCATGCCATTAGGTTAGAATTGGAGAGGGAATGTCACACTGAAAGCTAGATGTCCAGCAGACAAGAAGTATGTCTTTGGCAAGGATCCAGAAAGGCAGTCTAGGAAGGCCACCTTCCTGTGGGATGAGCACAAGGCAATCACACTGACTTATGCTGTAACTACTGGCCCATACTGCCCCAGGCTGCAGAAAAGGCAGAACCCAAGCAGGAGTTTGCATCTAAAAAGACTGGAGGAGTTATTGCTGCCAAGAGGAAAAGAGAAGCCCCCTGAGAGAAATCTTAAAGCATGGGAATTGCAAGGCCTTCTTACAGTCTGATTGCTCCACAGCTGCCTCACAGCACAGAGGAGAGGGCAGATCCCTTCCTCTAAAGTCCTGCACAACAGCTAGCATCTGCTGTAGGTCACAATGGCAAAGTGCAGTGTTGCTTACAGAGGTGATTGGCATTGAAAGACATGGTCTCCCTTGGGAATGACTGACTGCAGGACAGCAGGCTCTAAGTAGAGTAAAATGGCTGATGGTGGAAATTTTTGTCACGTCAGGACCGGGGTGTATGGGGTTAATTGGGAACAGGGAAGGGGAATGTAACCATAAAGAGAAAGCATTAATACTGAATATAAAACCCAAGCCAAAAGTGAACATGGATTTGTGGACCTTGCTAATGCTTCCCCCAGAGATCATTGCTAACTCTGTCAGGAAGTAGGAAAAGGAGCAGAGAATGTTACTAGAAAAAGTGTGGCACAAGCATCCCTTGTGACACCATGGTCTGTCCCCATGTGCAGATTGCAGCCAGCGGGAATCATGCTGGTTTCCATACAACTTCTCTGGTGGAGTGGTTTGCATTCACATTTCCTAGGGAGCCATATGGATGAAGTAAATGAAGGTGTTACCAAAAGAGCCCCTAAGACCACCAGGAGTAGAAAGAGACCAACAGCTGATATGCTGGGTTGCATTAGGGTGTCTGGAAAGGGCGAGTATCAAGTATTCTACCTCAGGTCCACTCAAACTGTGTGGAAAAGAGAGGGCAAGTCAGAAAGGAATTAGTGCCTCCCTAGCAACTGCTCACTCCTCCCTATCAAGCCCTTCAAGGAAGACAGTGCTACCATGCCCCGAGGTAGCTTGGCCCACCTATTGCCCTCTTGAATTACCAAGACAGGCTCATGGAGCATTTACAGGCTTCCCTTTGGATCAGTTTTCCTGCCCCTATGCTATCCTGCCACTCAGAACTATCCTTGGCCTCTTTTTTAGGATTGTCAGATCAGACTTTCAAAATAATGGGCTCTTTTATGTTAGATTCTTACATCAGACTCCAGTTGCACTTTGTGGGTCTGTGAAGATACCAGATGTTAGCAACATTACAGCAAAAGAAAGGTTGTTGCTTAAACCAAGAGAGTTCTTGCTTTTCAAGAGTGATCCTTCCCTTGAATACCTCCTGCACAACATTGTTGGCAGTATATCAAATACAATGGACTCAAATCTTCCAGATTGGATAAGGTTGCTTTGCAGTTGAAAAATTGAAAATGTAATTTTTTGTAACAGATGACCACTGCATTGCACCCCTCCTCAGCAGATCTAGCTCTTCCTCTTCTTTCCAAGACCCACTACAGTATGTACAACAGTCCTGGAGTTTCTCTTTAGTTTAGCTGACTATAGGAAGAGATGTCTGGGTCAGTTAATGTTTCATATCCTGATCAACAGCAGAAGGAGCTCTATGCTGCTGCTTCCATGTTGGCAAGCCATGCAGCCTCACAGTACATTCTAAAGAAGGACCCTTCCACAAGCGCTGCCTTACGGGGATGATGACTGCGTTAGAAGGTTGATGGATATAGTCTCTCTTACCCTATGCAGCAGCACCGTTTTAAAAATGGTTTCCTGCTTTCTATGCTTTTTGATATTTTGGTAGGAGGGTGTCAGACAGGTGGTGCTGTAAAAAATCACTGTTATAATCAAGTGATTACAGCCATTTGCCCTCCCCTCAGCTTCCAACAAAAGAAACAAATAGGAAGAAACCCCATAAAAAGGAAGGGAAAAAACTGTGAAAACATTTTGCTTCCTTCCTTTTCATGATAGATTAGGAAGAGGATTGTCTGAAATCTTTGGGATCTGAGACACAAAATGCTGCTCTTGCACATGGATTTCAAGGCCTTTCCAGGCAATTGTGGGCATGTGTTTCTAGTGTGATTTGGAACATGCAATTGAAGCTAAGTTGTTCAAAGAGATGTGGATACCTTTTATCAATGCTTCTATTGTGGGGAATGTGTATTGTCCCAGTACCTGCCTCTTGTTGCTTGGAAAGCTTGTGGAAGATGAGATACATGAATGTCACAGCAAACATTTTTTGGACAGCGCACAAGCCATCACTAGCAAAAGCCACACGTCTCCCCAGCTCTCAGTTTCTATGCTATTAATTGAACTACACTTCTTTGTAATGTACATGCTTTACAAACTTTAAAAAATATTCCTTTAAAAATATTCCAGCAACATGCTCTCCTGTTGAGTCACTACAGGACTAGTGCACTCAGCATTACTATTGAATGCAAGTTCAGACAAATCCCTTGTGTTGTTATGCCATAATGTGGAACAGACAAGTGGAAGGAAAGGCTCAGCTTTTAGGAGGCACCCTTCCACCTCAATTCCAGCAGCACAAATGCAAAGAGAACTGTGATCTTCCCCCACTCCACAGCAAGTCCTGTAGCATCATCCCCTGTTGCCCCTGATTCCAAGTCAATTCATGGGAGATCTGTGACAACTACAGATGCAGTGCAAGACTTTCTAGCCCTGTCTGCAAAATGCAAGTGGTGAGTCTTTCATTGTCTGGAAAGGCCCTCAGGAATTAATGACTGGGGTGTGCAGAGCAGTAGCACTAAGAGGCTTGCTCTCTTTTCGCGCGCGTGTGTGTGTGTGTGTGTGTGTGTGTGTGTGTGTGTGTGTGTGTGTGTAGTTCAAGAATCCCAGTAAAAATTTCCAACAAGGTCTCTTTTCCATTTTTTTTTACAAAAATAGATTCTTTTAATCTTTTTAAATTTTTGTTTTTTGTTTCCTATTTCAGCCTTTTTATTGTATTATTTTCCCCCTTTGTTCAGTTATTTGTTCTATTTAACATTGAAAAAGAGAAAAGAAAACCCCACTCATCAGCCCATCTCTACTCCAGTGCCTTCCCCTTTGTCAAAAACACTTTTCTAGCTTATTAGTCAATGGATCACCATCTGGAGTTGGCTCCCTCCTCTGTCTCTCGTTCAGGTGGCCCCATGCTTGGTCCTACAAATTCTTCATTAAACATTTATGTAGAAGAAGGAAAGAAAGAAGATCAATCCATTGATCAACATAGAGACAGACAGAAGAGAAAGGAAGGCTTGCTTGCTTTTGGAGAGGAGGCAAAACAGCAGGTTTAATTTGTACCACCATCTAACTTTCAAACAGTGAGCAAGTCTGTATTTCTGATCCCAAAGAAGCTTGTCTCGTCTAGTCCACACAACCTAGCTAAAAGACATATTGATGCTAGGAATCTTGGACTATGTCCCAGACCTCTAACCTTCCTGCTTGATATCACCAAGGCCCAACAAACCACTTCTCAAAAAAGGTGGGAAAACTGGGCCTTTGCTGTCCCCAGGGAATAGGCTTCTCAGGAGACCAGCAGAAAGGACCCTTACTTAGGACATGTGGGACTGGTTTTATTTTCCAAATATGACTCCCCTCTAATTAAGAGCCAGGAGCAGTGGTGGGATTAATAACCAATATCACTAACAATTTTAGACCAAGGGATGAGATGACAGCAAGTCTCCTGCCACTACGTTTGTCCTTCCTTGCATCCAAGAAGGACAAAGGTGGTGAGCTGGGTCATTGTAACTCCTCCCACTCGGCTAGCTTAGAGTAGCTGTTGTGACATTCTTGGATTTATTGACCCACAATATTCTGATTCAGGGTGGGGTGGGGATGTTTCTAGCACCCCTTACAGAGAATGGTTTTTACACCCCAGGGTCAAGAAACCTGCCTACTAGAGGAACAATATGTGGGATTCTGGGAGTTGGGGGGAGGTTTAGAACTGACAGGGTGAAAGAAGTATGAATGACTGGGGAAAGCTTCTGACTTGGGTTGGGAAAACCTAGAATGGGGGAGTGGAGGGTCACCAAGCATACAAACAGAGAGGTGTCCTATTTTGAGCAGATGTCTCCCTCCCAAACTGCCAGAGCAGGGTTTGATTTTCGAAAAGTGGCTGACATGTTGCCACGTCCGTGCTCCCTGCTGGGCTGTCAGGCGCAGGGGAGGAGGAGGGGGAGGAGCCTCCTGCTTCCCAGAGAAGATCACGGTGTCTGGCGGTTTAATATTCTGCAACATTGAGTCAATGCACACTTCCATTCTTGTGGTGAGTTGGGGAAGAGAGCTGTTTCCAGCACATCGGTCGCTTGCCCCTCCCCTCTCTCTTTTGCTCGCTCACTCACTCACTCACGCCTTGTGTTGCTTACTGGTCTTGAAGGAAACCTGGAGGATTCGGTCACCCAGTCGGTAGCCATTGAGGCTGGCGATGGCCATGGCTGCTTCATCGTAGTTGGTCATGGTGACAAAGCCAAAGCCCTTGCACTTGTTGGTGGTGAAGTCGCGGATCACTTTGACGTTGGTGACTGCCCCAAAGGGCCCAAAGAGCTGCCACAGGACACTCTCGTCTGCCTCTGGTGAGAGGTTGTACACAAAGATGCACCAACCAGCACTGGAGGCCCCTGTCAGGTTGACTCCCGCCAGGCTGGTCATGCTGTCGATCGTGATGGGAGAGAACCTGGAGATCAAGGAGAGAGGACTACTTTGGGTGTAAGGCTGGCATTCTACCAGCATGAGCTCACTGCATTATGGCTAGGTTGGGAGCAGTGCTTCCTACTCCCCAGGGCAGGGTAAAAGTTGGGCTCATGATAAAGAGGACTGTGATTGCCCTGTGGATAAATGAGTTTATCATGCCTGCATGGAGATTAGAATTGAATACAGAAGCTGGCATAATGATAATCTCAGTTTCCATGACACTCTGAAATATAAACTTCACGGTAACAAAGGGCAGCTTAGAAATATTTCTAATGTAATGTCAGAAACAAGATGAAAGCCAAGAAGAGTTTGGTGTGTTTTGGGTGGTGAACAGATCTAGTACACACATTCCTATCTTTCCCATTTTTAGACCCCATTACTGATTTCTGTCATGTTGTTGTGACTGTCTGCTTCCCCAGCTCCTTCCTTCTTTTCCTCCACACTTCTTTACAATTTGCATTTAAGTGCAAATTATCTGATAACTTGGATCTCTGGGCCGATTCACACAAACTACTGTATGTGTGGCTGGACAAACCTATTCCTGATCCAGAATGCACCATATCTGCTGCTGAATCCCTCATCAATTTTGCATGCTACTACAACCAAACTTTCCATATACATGTGGAGTGATTGTGCTAATGATGAGTCATTCAGGATCTTCAGCTTCAAGCCAGGTGCAGCAGAATAACTGTGCAAAGTAGCCTGTATGTAGTATTTTCAAATGTACTTGATTTCAGTTACAATCCTATGTATAGTTACTTGAAAGAAAGCCCTGTTGGTCTCAGTGGGATTTACATCAGAGTAAATATACAGAAGACTGTTATACACTTTGGTGCAGAATTTGGGAATGGGAGTGCACTGCTCAAGCACACTCCTCCAAATTATCCCCACTAATCATGTTAGAATCAGGCAGAGATTGAACTAGGCCAGTTTGCAGAAGAGTCAGCTGGATGTTGTCAAGAAACTCCAGGGTGGATTGAATGACACACAAAGGATGATAGCACAGTGACCTCAGGTCATCTTTTAAGTATGGGCTTAGAATGAAGCACAAGGTTTAATCTGGGGCCCAGTAATTTTGGTCTGGAAGCACTCAGACTAAGCAGGTATTCACCTGATCAGTGCCTGGATGGGATACCATTGAGAGCTCCACATAAGTCACTTTGAACCTGTTCAAATATGTCAGCAGTCTTCTAGCTCTCACAGGGCAGCCGACAAATCTTTGGGGAAAAAATTCTGTTCACTGGGTTTCTGACTTCCCAATTCAGCTTTAGAGTAAAGATCTAACTTCTGTCCCTCAAGCAATGCAACTAAATGAAATCAAGAAGCACCCAACACAGTGACAACAAAGAGAAACACAAGACCAAAAATCATAAGGAGCAACTAGTCATCTGAGCAAAACAGCAAGCACTTCTCTCAAGCCAATTCCAAAACAGAATGGAAAGGAAGGCATGAAAAGCTACAGTGTCCCCAGGACACACAGACCCAAATTCCACAGGCCTAGGGATCCTAAAATTTTAGCATTTACTTTAAATTCCCATGCTCATTAAGGAATGTTGGGGAGGTAAGGAAAAATGATTAAAAATGAAAGGTATCAGGAGAAACCAAGCGACCAAACACTGTCTGTATTGTTTCTTAAAAGGGTTCAAACAATAACAACAGTCATCTGCTATAGGAGATTTTACCCACTCCAAGTCTCAGAGTTAAGTCTAATCATGACCCCCATGTTCATTGTCCTAAAAAGATTAGTGTGGCCACTCAGAAGAGAGGGCTGGTACGGCACAGAAAGGGGGTGCTTGACTCTGTGGCAATGCTGACAATCACCTTTTAAAAATCCAGCCTTGTGCTGTGGGCCAAGGTGGGGAGGGAGCAGGGGGAGTGGCGAGGAGTGTAGGCTTTGGAAGGCTATTTACCTCTTGACGCCGTATGCCATGTTTAGCAAATTGTCGAGCCTGTGGGAGGAAGAGGAAGATGAGGAGAGGCCATTGTTAGTAGACGATCCCATAACAAAAGGGTCCTGTGAGGTCATCTGACTTGGTTTTTGTGCAGCAGTAAGACAGCACATGGATTCAGTGACTAGCACAGGTTGACCTTTGTATGTGCAAAAGCAATTTGAGGCCCTGGAGGAATTTAAGATCTTCAGTTTTAAAAAAAAGATTGAAAAATAATAGCAATGGGGCAGGAGCTGTACCTATTTTTTTTAAATCTGTTTTTCATATTCTGGGGTGTGTGGGGATTGGGCAGACATTGATTACTTAAGGGCAACTGAGGCTGCACTTTAAACATGATAATGATGATGAAGACAATGATGATGATTTTGATAATAATTAATCTGTAAAATTAAAAACAACCTAGAAAAGCACATGGCAAACATATTTACAGTTAGAACTTGCCACCTGTTTTATTTTATTTGCCTTCTGCTGCAAAGCTATGCCCAAATGTTATGCAGTATCTCTCTTGACCTTGCCTCTGTTCATTTGTATTAAAATCTATGTGATTCTTGTTAAACCGCTGAGTAAAAAAGCTTTTTAAAAAGGCAGCTATTTAATGTCCATGTTGCCAAAAATTCCAATGGTCAAAGCCACGGATTGTAGTACCCCACCCATGACCTCCCTGATTTTGTAATTGTCTTGTTCTTACAATTTTATCTCTGCCATTCATTAGTCATGCTTATCTAGAATCCAAGTTCTTCAAATAATATTGTGTAAAAATACAAAATGTTGTGAGAAAAAAACAAATTTTGTAGTACTGTGAAATATGCTCCATTTATCTATTTAATTAAACCTATATGGAGTTTTTGTTCTAATACAGGTTTCCAGACCTTACCTTTTAGGAACATTTTTGCAAGTTTGGAACTTTTTAAAATTTGCAGGGACAAAAGAAAGCATGTGGTGGGTGAAGCTCAGAACTATTCAGGCTATGTATATTCTTCTGTATTTTCTGGTGCTATCATAAAAGGGTGTTTAACAAGTCAAAGCACAGAAGAAAATCCATGTTTGCATGTTGCTTGTTTGCTTGCATGTTGTAAGTCATGCAACTGTCATTCCTCTGTACAACATTTTTGTGTAGGCAGGTTCCACCAGAAATATGTGAACACCAAGTGCAAACACAAGTGGCTTAAAAATACCATTCAGTCCAATATTGCTGTATGGAATCAAATCAAAATTTTATCCTACCTAAAGCAAAAAGTTGGTTACAAAGAAATATTAAATAAGTAAAACAGTGTGACTGTATACAAGCTTTTCAGCAATAAAGAACTCTTCAGCAAGTAGAATGTGAGTGCAGCTAATGGACTAGATTGTGCTAACCAGTTATGGAAGAATTGATAGGAACTGCCTTTTGGGGAGAGATTCAAATATTCCATGAGAATAGCCTAACCAAATATCCTGGGGACTATTTGGTGGCTAAGGACACATGTATCTGAAGAATCAGAAAATGCTTGGGTTAACTTCTTATCTTTTTGATACAGACAAATCATGGGCAAGTTAGGTACTGATCTGCATAAAGAATGCAGGGTGTCATCATCCATCCCTAGACATCTCTGGTGATGAATATGCCCTTTGACATGTACCCTAACCCTACCCAGGAGGTCCTCTGCCCCCTCCCCCGCCTCCAATTTACCAGACATAAGAGAGGAGGAGAAATTTCCAGAGAAATCTTGGAGAAGGAGGTAGAAGCCAGATTCTGAACTTCCAAATGGGAGTTTATTGGCAGATTTTGGGAAAGAAATCTGAATTAGTCAAGTAACCACCAAGTTTGTTATCAATGGAAGAAGGCAAAGGGTTCCATTAAAAAGTACTTGACAGCTCTATAGCTCTACCCATATTTGGAATACTATGCCTTTAACTGATTTGCAACTTCAGCTGGAAGCAGGGCAGAACTCTGGCATTTATCTTGCCTTGCTTTGAGATAGAAGAGCTTCCCCAATCTTTGAATTCTTTAGAATCAACTCCTCTTTTTCCTGGGAGTTCTCTCAAGAGTACTTTAGCCCAAACTAAGCAATGGCTGTGTTCACACAAAATGCTAAGCCAGAATCCTGGTTAATCATTCATAAGGAAGCAGGAAATTATCCGGAAAAGTTCAGGTTCTTGTGTGTTAGCCAGGCTCTAATGCTAAGATTTTCTGGACTGGGTATTTTCTAGTTATCTTAGTCACTTTGAACTTGCAGGAAGAGCAAATCAGAAACAATTGGGCAGTGTGATTGCTTGCTCATGAACAATAAGCTAATATTGTGGGGAATTAAAATGTCTATATCCCCCCACCTTTTAAATGGTAGCTTATGAGCAGCGATCATGCTTAAGACCGCAGTGAGCAGGGGGCAGGGAGGCTTCATCCCTTCTTCTCCCATAGCCCTAACAAAAATCCTTCCACACCCCAAACAGTTTTCTGTCCTGCAGAGAAGCTGCTACGGGCACTAATTGCAACTTTCTTTTGGTGCAAGACAGCAGGTTTATAGGTAGAGATGATTTTTGATGGGAAAGTGGCCCAAAGGAAATGGAAAGCCAATTTTCCCCACAGTCCTAGTCCTGAGAGGGCTCCCTACAGTAGCTGTTTCAGAGTATAGAACTAATTATCTTAGATGCAGCAAAAGGCTTAACATATTGTCTAGCTTGATCGCATCCTGACTAGCAGCCTACAACTAGTTCTCTACTGAAACAGCATACAATCTATTGCCCTCTGCTCTAAGCTGGTTCTTTCAAACATTGACAAGCACCCTGTAGGCTCCTCAGCCCAGCCAGAAGATGACACTGGGAATGTAAGAGATAAACTCTGCCTATCTCCAGAACTTGAAAAAGTGAGAAGAAACACAAGGCAATATGGCACAAGATATTGTCTCACATATGTTGTCTTCTTCTCTGAGACCAAAACAGCAACAAATTTCCTATACCAAAAATTATTCAGTGTTTTTAAGCTCAAAATAGAACAACAGCAACAAACTATGGTATTCAAGCAAGACTACAAAATTGTTCAAAATGCAACAGAAGAAGAAACTACTTCTACCCAGTGGATTGAAAGCAGATCAGTCTCTCAGAGATGAGCAGCAGAGTAGTTCAGGAAACCCATCACACAATGCAGCAATAGTTTCCACACACCAACATCCATCATGATTTTCTGGGAAAGCAATGGCAACATAATCCCACTCCCCAAAACTAGCAATATCTAAAACTTTGCATGTCCATCCTCACTATTCTTCCCCCTGCTACACCAGTCCTCTTCTACAGGCCCTAATAAGCTATTTGTGACCAAAACCTAATTGCCTCAGTCCATGGGAAAATCCATCATGCTTAACAGCACAGCCTAACACAATCTCCTATCCACCCCATCTTTTCATTGCTTTCCTTTCATACCAGTTGACCATGGAAGTTTCAAAGCATAATTCTCTCCCCTTTACCAAAGGAAACCTACCACAAAATGCCATCCTTTTCTATATCCACTTCCTACAGTGAGTGCTCTACCCTTACTATTTAGCATTAGGTGTTCAAGACAACATGGATTCATGCATGCACAACATGATGGACTCATACCTAAGAGAATCAGGTTAAACTCCACCTCACTGGGTTATCAGTGCCTTTGGCTTTTCTCAGTCTCATTTCTTCAGCTGTATTGTGGGACTTCAGCTGTATTGTGGGACCCAACCATAAGAGTTGTGTGAACAACAGCTGATCCCTGAGGATAGAGTGGGGTATGAATCTGAATAAGCAGGTGATGAGTATATAGCACGTAATGGGTGCCATACAATGTTACATTGGAAAAGGAATGAAAGGCCACATCACACATGATGATTCTCCTGCCTGGATACAGAAAGGAAATCCATGTACACAATTACATGTGTCTTTATTTTTGGGAAACTATGATTAGCAGCTGTAAAATAGATATCTGTACCATTTTTATATGAAATAGGTACATGGCTTGTTTTTCTACACTTGTGAACAAGTCATGTGGGGGAACTATCACGTGTGAAGGAGCTATATCACATAAAATGCATGAGAAAGGTGGAAGAAAACATACTGGGTACTGAATCTAAGCCACAGGCCTAGATTTTGGGTGTGAACAGTCTTTCACAATCATACTGAGTAAAGGTTACAAAGCCTTTCTTTGTTATTTGCTTGGCTTAGGGTTTTCAAAACAGAGGGACCAGTCCAACTCATCCCTGAATTCCTCCCATCTTACCTACAGATTGAAAAAGTAAGGGATTGTATGAGTGTTCATATAACTTGGTTACCAAAACAGGGCAAGTTCTTCTTGCCCCAGATGGCATCTGTGCCACAGGGAAGGAGATGGGATATGTAGCAACTCCATCCCTTACTCCCTGAGGCACACAACGCAACTGATAGGTGGCACACAGAGACATGGAGGAGGATGACTCCTTAGCTATTTACCCCTGAACAAAATCAGCCCACACACTAGATCCAACAGTAAAACAGAGTCTCCAGCCATGTAAATAGTGACCCCTTACTGAGCACTGAGATGCAACAAATTCTGGGGTGGAGCAATGGGATCAGCTGCTGCTGAATTGCTAGGAGGAAACACAGGTTGGTGTATGAGGCTCATTCACACTGGAATTGCTGACCTACTGCCTTTGATCTTTTAGCAAGGACAATTTTTGGTCAGCATCACTCTAGCTTCTCTGTGGTAGCTCCAACAGGCAGTCCTTGCAACAATCTGGCAGGGCAGATACCACCTGGCAAAAAAAATTCTTCCCAACTCAGCATAGTGAACTCATCATGAAAATGTCCCTAACATGGCCCTCTGTTGTTCCTCAGAATTCAGCATGCTGAATATACTAATAGTCTTTGAATGGTATCATTCCTGTCTGCCCTGTTGTTTGGTGACCATACCCAAATATGAGGCATTGCTCAGGAACAGGAAGGGATCCAGGACAGAGACAAGGAGCTCACAAAGCTGCAAAGGAATACTGCCCCTCCGTGTCTTGGGGAAAGTAGAGAACAGAAGGATGGCTCATAAGGTCCCAGCCCAGTGGATCATCTTTGCAGGACACAATTGTGACAGTAAGTGATATTATGCCATGGGGGCTCTCAAAGGAGGGGAAGGGATTCCATAGCATGCCCTGATATTGTGTTTGCTTGTATCACCCACAGAACCCCCAAGGCTGACATACTGGCTACAGATGAGGGCCTTCAGGCATGGTATCTGCATCCAACATCTGATGCAGAGATGACAGCTGCAAGGCACTGGGTGAAAAGAAGAACCTAACCTCTTAGCCTTCCTGCAGAGAAGAGGGGAAAGTGTCTCACCTGAACCGCTGAGTCTGATGGTGCAAAGGTCCTGTGTATCGCCGAGCTGTGGTCTGGTACAGGTGTGTAAGCAGGGCTTGCCCTGTCTTCTGACTGGGGTTGTTAGCAAACTTGACTGTAATGGGCTCACTGGCCCCAAGTGGTTTCTGCCCATTCAGCCCCTTGATGGCCTCCTCAGCTTCTATCCTTTTGTCAAAGCGGATGAAACCAACCCCTCTGGAAACACCTGTAGGTAGAAGACAGAAAATTGCATGTGGTTATGTGGATGCTGTATGAATGTTGATCAGGCTGTATTCTGAGTTGTTATGCAATTCTACATTTTAGAAATTTCTTATCTAACGGTAGAAACTTCTGATTTGTTTTAGTATCTTATATTCATTCCAGTGTCTATTATTTAACATTTGTTATCTGTTTTAGTGCTCCTGAGAAAGACAACAGATTGAATCGCATTAAGAAATCTTAATGAAATAGACTGCTCCTTCAAGCAGTCTAAGATTTGTGCCTCCCTCTGTTTTACTGGCTGGAATATTACCACTGAGTTGGAGGCACTGAGCTACATGGAGCTCCCATGCTCCACATAGCAAAATCCTGAAACTACTTTAAAGATTTAAACTCGAATATATGACGTGCTTACATAGATAGGAGTGCTTTTCATTATATGCAGACCATGTATGAGATTAGAGTGAAGCACTTCTACTGATCCCACACTTTTGTTTGCCTGTACAGACAAGTGGTGAGCCCATTATGAAGAGCAAGTACGCAACAACACAACAGGCACATAAATATGAGCATATAGCTACATGCATACAGTCTAGCCTATGTCCACGCAAAGGCGTAAGTTGATAGCATCATAGCCATTAGTACTTATAGGTACATGCCCCATCTACTCAGCCTGTCTGTGGCTGAAGGACCCTATGACAGGAAGAAATTACTTTCTCCTCCCACCACCCCCGCTTGAGTCCCTTTGGTACTCCTTTTCTACCAGTGACACTGCTGGCAGAGCAGGGATCCTGTTCTTTCTTATTACCTGTAACCTGATCAACAAGGATGCGGGAGGTGATGATGCGCCCATACTGTGAGAACAGCTGCTCCATCTCTTTCTGGCTCATTGTCTTGGGCAGGCCACTCACGTAGAGATTGGCATCACGGATAGAAGCCGAACTAGGCCGTGCGTAGGATACCTAATGGGGGAGGGTATGGTTAGAAGGGGGCTCTAGAAGGAGCTCGGATCAGCCTTCTATATCAGCTACCCCCATCAGTCCCAGCCACTCTCTGCTCTAAGAAACACTTTCTTCTTGGGGGCTGCAGGATTCCTGTCTTATTAATTTCCTTCCCTCATAGGGAAGTCATTCCATTCCTTTCTTCCTTTCTGTCATATTTTTGAATGTGAACTCTTTGGGGCAGGAACCTGTTTTTTTTAAAGCTGCTCTGAAAAGTGCTATGCATATTAACCATACTACAGTAATGATGATGATGGTGATGATGGTGATTGTAATAATATAGATTTCCAGACTTCCACTTTTACATACCTTCTAGACTGGTTCCCTTTTGTCATCTGCATTGATGTATTTATAGCTTATTCTAACTTGACAATTCTTTGGGTATAAAATACATTTTTAAAAAAGGAGAGATTCTACCCCTTCTGAACTCCAAAATTCATATCAACCTTCCTTTCTTGCACCCACCTTGAGTCCAGTTTCCCCTCATATTCTCCTCACCTTGATTGTTTTTGTCTGTAGTTTGAGCCCATTCAATGTATTTATTGCTTTGTCAGCATCATTGGAGTCAACATAATTGACAAAGCCGTAGCCTAAACTCTGCCCTAGTTTGGGAGAAGAAAAAGAGGTTACACAGTAAAGAAGAAGCCAATCAAGCAAGGAAGAAGAAAGATAAGGCACAGAAAAGGTGTTTTACATCAAATGTAACAAAAATATAAACAAATTTGGAGAAGATATTTCAAAAGCAGAAATGGCAGAAAAAAACAGTTAATGAATCCTCTTCAGAAATGTGCCAGAATGCCAACATTTAAAAGTTGAAATGGGACTGAAAAAATTTAAATTGCAATTTTGAACACAAAATGTAGCCTCAAGCTTTGACATTTCTGTTCTGTCAAATAGATGACAGAGCCAAACATTATGCAAAGCAACTATAAAATACACTGAGATACAAATAAATAAAGCCCTAGAGGTTGCCTTCTGGGACTTTCTCCTCAAGACAAAGCCAAAGGAATCTTTTTATTCTGAGGGGCAGTTGCAGCACAGCTCTTATGCTGCCTGAGATGCAAGAAAAACTGCTACCACTAACAGCTGTCCCACCTTCACCATGACCCTTCCCTTCAGAGTGCACTGCTGGTTCCTCTGCTACAACATTCTGGCTATTTCTCACAATCTAGCAAAAATGGTTTTGCTAGAGCCAGGTACTGACTGGAGAGGTGCCCTAAGAAATCCCCTGTGCTGCAAACTAACTTCCAGAACACCTCTCATTCAGAACACCCCCTTGTCCCGCTAGCTCTGCAGCTGGTCTGGAGGACAGGTGGCTGCTCCAGTGTAGGACGATAGCATGGGGGATTGCCATGGTCAACTCCCCAGCCAGGCAATGGCTGGCTCTGAGAAAGGACGCCCTTGGGGCTAGGCATTTCAGGCAAGATGACTGTCTGAAGAGCCATGCCTGCTGTTTTTGTGACCAACATGGCTCTTCAGAGAGCCTGTCCACCCTCTGGCTTATTCTGCCAAGGTTCTTACAGCAAGCCAGAGGGCAGACAGCTGCTCCAGAGAAACTAGAATATGCTCTCCTGCTGTGGCATTTGCCCCAGCAGGTAAGTGGGCCCAGTAGGATTCTCTAGATTACCTGCTACTGTTGCTGGCTCACGGTGGTGCTGTGACATTGAGAGATCCACCCTGCCTCATGGGTGGGCTGGGTCTGATGAAGCTTCATGAGGAAATGAAAGGCACTGAGTACTATGAGAGGAAGAAGTTTGATCTGAAGTAAAATATCTGTCAACAATGAGTTCTGTGAGGATAGAAGAGGGATGGAAGGAACTCACTGAAGTGTGACCAACTTAGTCACACAGGAAAAGTTCCTAAGGCAGTGTGAAAGTTACTGCTGTAGCTAGGGGAGGGGACAACCAAAGATGGACTGTCTGCATCCAACCTGAGAACTCCATTCAAGTGAGGCCAAGGTGGAAAAGCTGATATGGCCTAATCTCTAACCTATATTGTTAAGGCTAACGAAACAAAAACTGGCACTGTATCAGGGAGAAAAAAAATATTTTAAGTAGGCCCAGACCGAATTATTATCCTGTTAACACTGTATTATTTTGCCTTCCTTGGTAAAAAAGATTTAATCCCACTAATCCTGTATAGTCAGCAGTGGAAGCTCAAAATACAGTCCGGGCAAAAGCTGATGCATATTTAGTTGCTCTTGGAGCCAAGCAAGGAATTGTGCTGAAGAATCATAGTGAGAAAAACTGACTAGATGATGTGTGTGCCTATCTGTCCGTTGTATAACTTCAGTTCTCTTGCTAACCCTTCTTACGGTTCTTCAATTTTAAATCAGAGTTAGACTGGGCAGCCTGGAAAACAGGGGACCCCTTCAAATAGAGGACTGTCCTCTATAAAGTAAGCACCTAGACACAATATCAGAATACTATAAGCTGTTACAGCCTCAAGCAAGTCAATTCTTCCCCTCTCCACCTTTTTTTTCTTTTTCCTAAGTGACATCTTCAAACATGCTCAGTCCTCACTGGGCTATTTTAAGATTTGCTTTGCTTTTCTTAATTTATAAACCAAGCTTTCTGCATACCTCAAAAATCCATTGAGCAAGTATGCAGAAATGATATTGCCTGCTTGTAGTCCTGTTTCACTGCCAAAATGATAAGACGCAGGATCACCAAGTTTAGTATTAAACTGTTAAAAAAATTCTCTGAATTTTCCCACCACAAGCTCATTCAGCCATTACTTTTGCTTTTAAGTGTTGCAAACCATAGTACCAAAAATGTCCCCACAGCATGCATGACTTTTTGTTAGATTACAGCCTCACACAGGACTAAGAAAGCAGCTGACTTTTTGCCTAGGCACCGTTCAAGTATTTTTTTAGACATGGGGACTATGAGAGAAGAAAAAGTGGTGGTCTGCTGTAAACAAGAGTCCTTGGTACAGCAAAGCTTAAGAATAACTGATATTTGATAGAAAAGCCAAATCGTTTCCTCTAACAAAATTTAGTTAATTGTAAATAGTCACATCTTGCAGTTTATTTATAATTTCTATACTGCCCAATAGCTGAACCTCTCCGAGTGGTTCACAGCATATAAAATATGAACAGAAATAAAAACATCATAAAAATTGCCATTAAAAAATTTAAAAGCACATTTAAAACAAATGTAAAACTGCTACAATAGCCTAAATCATAAGACCTGTAACATAACCCCAATAAAATAATAGCTAATTAAATGTCCTGCAATAGAGGACAGTATTAACCAGGTGCTGGAAAGATATTACAGTGGCACCAGGTGGTTCTTAGTGGGGAGCTTGTTCCAGAACTAGAGGGCCACTGCTGAAAAGGCCCTTCTTGTTGCCATCATCACAGCCTTCCTTGGAGATGGCAATCAGAGGCAAGCCTCCAATCATGATTGTACCATCCAGATAGACTGCAGTTTGGAGAAGCATTCCGGCAGGTAATGTGGTTCCAAGCTGTGTAGGGCTTTATAGTTTCACACACAGATTTAAATTATTTTTAATTATACAAGCCACTGAAATGTCACAGGGGTTATAAATTTTTCTACAGGAATATAAAATAATATTTGCGCTATAAATACTTCAGATTTTGGCTCACTTTTTCCAGCTTGTAAAAATAATTGAAAGAAAATCCCAGTTTAGTAAACGTTATTTACATAAAAACCAAGGAGTAACACTTTCCTATGATCACATTAAGATTCTTAGTTAACAATTCATGAAGGAATTCTGATCATGATGGTAGAAATAACATGTTGTCATATTTGCCTAAAGGCCAAATATCCAAGCTATCAGACACATGTGATTTTCCACTGTCTGTTGATTAATACACTGGGTTGAAAGCAACTGTAGGAGCAAACTGGATCAAGGCCATGTGTGCAGAAAGGATTTTAATCCTTTTCTCACATATCAATCCACTGATACAAATTACTGTAACTGCCCCCACCCAGGCTGGTGGGAAATTTGATTTTTCATTATTATTTTTGAACAAGCAGCCTTTACGTGAAATCTACAAATAGATAAATATATGGATATTTGGGCTGTTTTTGTCAAAATTTATTCACAATTATTTTCAGTAACAGTAGTATGCTCTGTTAAACAATAATACACAAGGTTGAGATGACTAGAGGGAGTCACTGAAGCAGTTGGCATGAGCTTAGGTGGACTCTGGGAGGACAGAAAGGCCTGGAGGAGTGTTGTCTATGGGGTCGCGATGGGTCGGACATGACTTCACAACTAACAACAAAGTGCTATCTTTTAAAATCCTATTCAAATACTGCAATGTTTTAGGTTATTTTTTTCCATTTTACAGTCTCACTTGTCTCTAGGGGTTTGGTTCTGGTTTTGTACTGAACAATACAAATATTTTTTAAATCCTAGTTTAGAACAGATAAGCATTAAATATGGATTACTTGCCAAACAACTGCAGGAGTTTCCAGTTTGAACCTTTTGTTAGAACAGGAATCTTGCTGTTATTAGTTTATAATTGTTAGAACTATTACATTTTCAAATTGTGCATGGTTTCGTAAGTGCTTCTAAATCTTAACATTTGGTTGGTCACATAGTGCCAAGGTGTCTTGTAAAGTTCAGGAGAAGCCTGGATTCGTTGGATGCTTTAGAGGCTTATGCTGGTAAAGAACAGACTCTGATATCAATCCAGAGTAATTACTAACTGTGCTTTAACAGGGAGGCTTTTTTCCTATTTTAATAGAAAGTTGGTGGTGGCACTACACAAGACTATTGATAGCCTACACTGACAAATGCTAGCATTCTTTACTAACTAGAATTGGATCTGAAAGGATGAGAGAAATAACTCCCTAATGTCAGCATTTAGGTCTGCAACAATCACTCTCTTGGACAAACCTAATGTTTGGCAATTAGATTAACCGCAGTGACTAAAGTACTGGCATGGATGTGGGAAGCTTAAGTTCAAATTCCCACTCAGCTGTGAAATCCACTAAGTAGCCTTTGATAAGTCTCTGTCTCTCAAAGTAACATTCTTTGCTGTGAAAACAAGGTAAGGTAGGTGGGGGAGAATATAAATGCCCCTTCGATTTCACTTGTTTTTAAATAATCTGTGGATGTAGAAATCCTGCCCTGTACCCACTGAACATTTTATATGGAAGGACAATATAAGAGGTCCTTTCACATAAAATAGGAAAAAAATAAGTAGTTAGTCCTTAGGTCTAGAGAGAAACCAGGACAATTATTAGTTCATATTTCTATTCACTATTTAGGGCAGGGTACAAATATATTTAAACTGCATTGTAGTGACAGATTATCATTTGCCAAACCACAAATCAATGCCATAAAGCTTGCAAAGCAGTTTTCAAATTAACTTGTGCACAAATTGCTGAGAATTCAGATTTGCTATTTGGAGATCAAGGAGTCATCAAACTTGAACTTGCTTCTTAATGAACTCTGACTATAATCTCTGTAAAATGTAGTGTGAATTGGTAAGCAATTTAAGATCTGGTTTTATAATCAATCAGTGGTTTATGCCATTACCAACCTTGTAGCAAGTTAAACAAAATTACTAATTGATTATAGGCAGAAACTTATCAAATCCTGGGAAGAACACATTTCTCCCCAAATGTACTTGTAGATTGCCATAATTTTAATTCCAGGTCTAGCAAAGTTCATTAATGCCCTACAACCAATGCAGAGACTTGATTCAGGTATCACACTGAACTATAACTAAATTTCCTTCTGTACAAACATAAACCTGCAGACAGAAGAACTAGCCTGCTGAATCAGGTTAAAACTTCATCTAACCCAGCATCCTGCTTCTCATGGTGGTCAGTCAGATACTTTAGGGAAAACAGTAGACCTCTCTGCTCTTGCTCCCAGCAACTGGAATTTAGAGGCATGCTACTTCTGATCTGGAGGCTCCATATAACCATCACTGATAATAGCCATTGAGAAACCTTCCTACATTTCTCTAATCCTTTGCTGGAACTGTACAGTGTTCAAAATGAAAGTGCATGGTAGATTTCTACATGTGCAATACAATATTCGTTTTATGCCTTTGCCTATGCTAACTGGGTGCTTGCCTTTTTTACTCATACTGAACCCCAGGACTATAATTCCATTTACTCAGGACCTCCTTCCTAGATAATCACTGTCATTTTGAACCCCATCAGTTAGGATCATTCTCTCTGGTGCATATCACTTTATGCTCTCTTAGACTGCACTACATTTACTATTTTGTTGCCCATTAATTCAGTCTGGAGAAATCTATTTAAAGCTGTTCAAAGTCTGCCAGGATTTTCACCATATTATGGCTTGCCAAGATGTCTGAAGTGACCCAGAGAGTTTCTCTAAACTGGTTCACATAATATGACAGCCCACTATGGGTTAATTTACAGGGTTGTCATGTCATGCTGGGCACACATGGGCACCACCCTTACATGGTGCCTGGCTTGCTGTGAGTTGGCATGTTATATGGACCCAGATAGTAGGGGTTATTTGAAGGGTAAACAACCCTCAAATAACCTATGGTTTGTTTGACAGTTATTTGAGGGTTGTCTGACGCTGAAATCCCAGATTCATATGATTAAGCAACATGGGAAGCAGAGTGCCCATGGACACCATGCAAATACAGCACCTGGAAGAACATGTCTTGAGTGGAGCTGGTTGGAGGGTCAAACTAGATTGGCTGGGAGACCCCTTATGACTCACTCTGTTTCTAACATGAGAGGTCCCATGATTAACCTATGGTCGGCTGTTGTGTGCACAAGCATCCCCCCCCCCGCCCCGGCCATACACACACTTACCTGTGATTTTGTCTCGCACCAGTTTGCAGGATTCAATCTCTCCAATGCTTCCAAAGAGGCTCTTGAATTCTTCCTGTGTCATATTCTGGGGAAGGTAGTTCACTATGAGGTTAGTTTTGGAGTCATCAGTGGCACCATTGGCACTGATCAATGGCCCATTGGGAAGAGAACTGTTGCTTGTGGGGCCGTTGGACACTTGGGTCTCCATTGTGCTGATTATCTGCTGAAAACAAGAGGGAAATGAGAAGGGGGTTACGGTTATGAAGGGAATAGGAAGCAAAACCCAACAGCTTCTGTCAAGTTTGCTTTCATTTGTAAACTCAGGGATGTTGGAATGACTCAGATTGGATCAGGCTAACATTAGACTTGCCTGGATTGATCAAAAGAGTCTGTTCTGGCTCAGAGCAAGAAGCAATTTATGTTAGTTTAACAGTATCTTGTTGTACAACAGCATTTTCAGAGGATACCTAGATCAGGGCTTTATTGAGTCTCTAGAGGTAGGGATTTCTAGAGCTGAGAGGAGAAAAATATCTTTCTGCATCTATAGACACATGTACCATATATAAATGTCATGGCAGATTAGCCACAAGTTTGCCTTTTTAAATGCAACTGAATTACTTCACACGGATATGAAAAACTGAACAATACTAATTCCTGGAAACCATTTTCAATATTAGTATTACATGGGATACACAAAATTACAATAAAAGAGCACCTTTGAGCATATGCAGGGTTCCTACAGGTATATTAACTAAGAAGAAAATTTCCACAGATTCCTATTGAAAGTTTTTGGGACAAGACTATGCAACACTGTGGATATATTCCATATCACATTAACAGATCCTCGCAATAAACCATCATGGGAAGTTTGTTGGCCATTCAACCAATTGTGTACTCAACAGAATACTGGTTTCACTGTGGTTTGTTTGCTTCTACCCTCCACCTCTGCTCTCCTGCAGATATCCCACGGAACCTGAATGGCAGGAATGACATGTTTCCCTGTTATGATCCGGATTTGCCTTGCCGTGGCTTTTTGTCCTTTAAACTTCTCTGCCCCCAGAGATCACAGTCTGGCTTGACAGTTGGCTTTTGCAATCTCCATTTTGACAGCCAGTGATACTGACAGCCAAGGGCCCAAGAAGCACCTTCGATGAGCTGACTGTAGTTAACAAACATTTTATTTACTGGTTTTGTGCACATGAGTGCATTTTTTCTTTTTCTTTTCTTTTAGTCACACTTGCACAACTGTAGGAACCTCAGGGATGGAGTAATCTGCTGTCAGTGTGCAGCACATACCAACCCTAGACATTAAAGCAAAGAGGGGCCAAGTATGCTTTTTTCTTCTTTTCACTTCCTCTTGACAGCCAGCAACAGTAAGCTGTCAAGGGAAAGCAAAGGCGTGAGTGATCCTTACTTGTGAAAAGGGGGTAATAAGATTTACGTCCCTTTTACATTTAGAAATCTTTTTCCCCTGATAGACCTCAAGGTGATGCACAGTTTACACTTCTTCCTAAGAACAGCTGCTTGGGAAACTACAAAAGGGCATCCCGCCCCCTTTTATGGGAAAAAGATTTTTGACAGCTAGCATTTGCTCAATAGAATAATACTTTCTGCATATATTTTATGTGAAGAAATAATACTAAAAAAGTTTGCCAACCACTGACAGCCCCTCCAAGAGGCCAGTTGGGTACTTTGAAGGTGCTGTCAGTAGATGTTAAATTGGATATCATGAAAGCAGGCTGTCAAGCTAGACTTTGTGATCTCTAGAAAAAGAGGTTAAACGCCAAAAATTTATAGCAAGGTGACAGTGACTCACAACAGTGGCAGAGAAAGCATCAGGTCAGTGCCAGACACCCTGAAATTGCTTGGGCACTTGGGGAAGCATAGCAAAAGCAGGAGCTTGTGGCACTGTGCAAGCCTGGTCAGTGTGTGGGGGCAGGGAGAGAGGAATATTAGTAGATCTTGATCCTATTATATCCTATGAACTGCCATACTTTTTCAAATTCAGCTATCCTTACTGCAGTAGCCCATCTGCTCATTTCCACTTTTAAATAGAGAGCCTTCAGGCTATTGGGTGGTTTTAAAAAAGAATGAATGAAATAATATAATATAATATAATATAATATAATATAATATAATATAATATAATATGAGCTAGGTGTTAACAGCTTCAAATGGTACTTGCCTGCATAAATTGAAATATAAACAAGTAAAGGTTTCCCCATGACATGAAAGTCCAGTCATGTCTGACTCTTGGGGGTGGTGCTCATCTCTGTTTCCTAGCCGAGGGAGCCAGCGTTTGTCTGCAGATGGTTTCCGTGGTCATGTGGCCAGCATGACTAAACACTGAGGTGCATGGAACACTGTTACCTTTCCACCAAAGTGGTGCCTATTTATCTACTTGCATTTGCATGCTTTCAAACTGCAAGGTTGGCAGGAGCTGGGACAAAGCACGTGAGCTCAGCCCATCCTGTGGATTCAAATGTCAGCCTTTCGATCAACAAGCCCAGCAGCTCAGCAGTTTAAACCATTGCACCACCCACAGTCCTAATTGAAATATACACCAAAATAATCTGTTCTATGAGCTGATGGAGTATACATGTGGCGTGGTGTGTACACTTATGCATATGTAGAATTGCTTAGGTCACAAACCACATCTGCAGAATGGCTCGGCTTCTCTGGAGCTCTGCAGGTGCCACTTGACACTGGCACAATAGCTTCTTCCTATGACATTTGCTCTGATTGTCACAAAGCCTCTTTCAGTTTCCCTAAGCCTTCCAGCAAGCAGCTGATCTGGTAGCAGCAGTGAATCCCTGTTAAACTATTGATCAGATCATTGACTCTGCCATTATCTCCAGCCGTAGGCCTGAGGTGGCTATTATCAAAGAAAAACGTTTTACCGCCCTGCAGGGCCTGTTTGTGAAGACAATCAAGGACATGCCTCTCTTTTTTTCACTATCAATATGTATACCCAACAGTATTTCTTCAACCTGAACTTCTGGACTGAGTTGCAAAATTTTGAAAAATAAAGTAGGAACAAAATAGAAACCTGGCTCACAGCTTCAAAACTCCCTGCTGAGTATATTTATATGGGTTTGTAAAAATATGCTCATTTCATTCACAGTTACAGCATATTATATTTAAACTTAAAAAGACAATGTTTGAAGTGACTTACAAAAAAGCAAATATGAAAGCAACAGGCAGAAAGTATAACTGAGGAACAGTCAGAAAAGGCTGCTAGTAGGACAACAGGGGTAATAGTAAAACTCTAAAGAATAAGGAGACCAGCAGTCATAAGCCAATATGAAGGTTGAAAAACTAACTGGGCCAATTCAGAAATTAATATAAGTATTAATGAAATTACCAATGTTGCATTGTATACTTATTAAGTCCCATGATTTTCAGCAAGATTTGTTATTAAGGAAATACAGAAAATTCCACATATATTCCACTATTTGTGTGAACATTATATAAATATTTTGTCATTGCTGCAATAAATACAGGTGGGCACAGGATATTGAGTACTAGCATCACTAAGTTGCCATGCAAAGTGTCCCCCCCCTACAGTGAACCAAACTAGACAACCATTTTGGCAGAGGTAAAGCCAGTCTTACACACCCTATGGTGGTGTATAAATAATGGAATCACACAGGGAAACACCCGAATGATATTATTTTTACCTGGAACCTGAAATTCACATATGTGTACCAGGCACAAAGCTGCTGGGAAGACATTCCAAAGACAGAATGCCACTTCCCAAATGATCACTGTCAAGTGCTGCTTTCCTGAGAGCTCATACCTCTCTTTGCCTCAGAGAATTAGCAATTTGAGTAGTTCCATGCAAGGAGCAAATTTGCTGACCCCTATTCTACAGGGACTTTCCACATCATTTGTCAGATGCTATTGGATTACTGGTTAAACAACATCAACCCATCTGGAACCACTGGCCATGTTCAGTAAATTTTAATATTACAAAACTAAACTGCAGCCCTCTCCTGCACACATTTTCCCCCTCTGGCACAGAAGATTGGAAGTGTTCACTTTCTGTTTCCATTAACTACAATTTAGCATGCTAAATAGTGAGGAGTATTAGATATATTAACCATGTTGCTTCAAGCACTCCATAGTTAAAACAAAGATTTGTCAGTTTGGGCAAAATAGTAAGGTTTGATTTAACAAAAATGGAAGCAAAAGCTTTTGAATTCCATGCAGCCACTCTGAAAAAGAAAGATAGAAAAGGAGTGTTCAAGTCTGCGGCTCACTGGAGCTGGGCATAATCAAACATACAGTGTCTTTTTTCTCCTAGTTCCAATCTTTTAAAATGTTTCCTCAAACACAAACTGGTGAGATACCCTATTGCTGCTGCTTTTTTTCATGAATACCCCTCCCACTGAGCTCTCAATTGCCTGCAGTTTTCAATTTTATTCCAGAAGAGTTACATCTGTTGTAAAGGGTAATCACCTCACCTTTTAAAATGCATTCTCACCTCAAATAATATTTTCAATTTGAAGATTAAATAATTGGCTTTGTTTCTATATCTCCTTAAAGCTTCAGTCCTAACCATGTTTGCTGTGCAATCTCATATACACTTAGAAGTAAGACCCAGGTGTATTTGCATGGAATTCTGCAGAATCTTAGCTAATGTGTGCTTATGTATGCATTCTGCTTATTCCAACTGCAGGAGTGATTTGTTTGGCATGTTGGCTGATCCAAGAAGCCTGACTTTTAAATCAATTAATTAATTAAAGATCTTTATGTACCGTTCTCTCAGGGCATTGCTCTCAGAACACTTTACAAATGGTGACCAAAATTAAAGCACATAACAATTATCCATAAAATTCATACAAAATACCGAGAAATATAAAAAAATAACAACCATAACAAAAAATAAAATGATAACATATCAAACCAGAATGATCATTATCAAAAACCAATATAAAATCAGATCTCTAATCAACAGTTAAAATAGCGGGAAAATGAAAAGTTTTTGACCTAGCAGTGAAATGTATAAAGTGCCAGCACCAGGGACACCTCCCTGAGGAGTTGGTTCCATAAATGGAGCACCACTACCAAAATAGTCCTTCTTCTTGTAGCCACCCTCCTTGCTTTTTTTAAAGGTGGCTCTCAGAGAAAGACCTCCACTGAAGATCTTAGGGTCCAGGAAGGTATATACGGAAAGAGATGTTCCTTAAGATATCCTGGTTTTAAGCTGTTTAGGGCTTT